GTTTGGGAGGACAGGGTTTATTGCTCATTTTCAAATGTTTCATGAAAATACTATGCCTTTTTCATAACCGGAATACCACAGGGCTCCCTGACTTCCTTTTTTTTGCCTTTTCTTTGTTTGTTTGTTTTTGAAGTGGAAGTAAGAAATTCACGTCCATTTGTGAAATATTTCCAGAGTGAAATCTTGCAGGTTGTGGCAGGCAGAGTCCTTTTCCAACAGCATTTACATTAGTATTGCTTCAAAGGTCTTGCCCATCTTGGTACTCTCTAAACGACAAACATGGTATCTGGGCATTCAGATAGCATGGCTTCTGCAGCTCCTTCAGTCCGCTCCTGATAGAATATGGACATTATCCATATCTCCTTCAAATACTGGGATACAAATAAGCTGCAATGCCATTCTGCCTCTTAAAAAGTAATAGTATGGTACGCAGCGAGAGTTCCCGTGTTGTTTCTCGTAGCTGGTAGCACTGCAGAGCTGGGTGAGGGGCTCCCTCAAGAACTTGTCATGCAAATGCCAAAAATCTTAGTGTTTGTAATTCCTGACATATTTAGATGAAAGGCGCTATAGAGCTTTCAAGTCAAATATTTTAATTAAACTTGAACATACACATGCAAGCAGAAACAAGTACAAACATTAAGTAAAGTTGGTTGATAAGGTTACATTATCAAACAAGAATCATCTCAATCAGTATCTTTTCCGTATTTAGAACTCCATATTTGTCTCTTACACTTCTCAGGTACTCTAAATATGAATAGTTGTCTATCTTCCATTCCAATTCTCTTTTTACAATCCAAGGACATTTTTTGTGACAGGCTTTTCAAACAAAAAGAACTTGCCAAATCTTTCTTCAAGCTTCTCAGATGAAGCATCATCTCAGGTTTTCAGGAATTATGATCATTAATAAGATACTGCTTCTAATCCAACAGGGAACACTGAAGATTTTTATGTATTTTTAGATATATTTTTATATATATGTATTTATGAAAAAAGCTCATTGTGCAGCTTTCCACAGAGACAGAGATTGGTGTATTCTTGGTGCAGCATAAGAACCAGCATTTTCAGGCCTTTGGGACAGACACGCATCTCTTTGAGTATGGCAGGCCATTTTCTGGCTAGAGAGAAATCACCCAACAACAATATAAGATGACTGAATGATACAGAGATTTTAAGATATTACCATTTCCCACAGAACCTCCAACTAAGTGAAAAAACATGTTCATCACATTCTTATATGATCTTAAGATATTTAAGGTTGTAGCTGGCACAAACCTGTTCTTCCAGGACTAAAGACACTTCCAATATATTGGCTTAAGGAATTCAATTGCACTTGGTACTGGAACTATTTACCAACAGACTGATCACAGAGAGCCCAAAGGAGACCACCACAAACAGCCAAGGTATTAGAAAACCTGCCCTGTCAAGAGGGAGTGAAGGACATGAGTGCTCAGAAACAGGTAAGAGATCTTTGAAGAGAGACACAGCCACAAAGAGGGATATAAGTTCTTTCCCATGTCTCTTGAAGTATAATACAATTAATATAGATTCAGAATTGCAGCAAGAAAACATGGTTTGGTCACTAAGAAAATTCTCCTAAATGTACAGGTTAGACACTGGAATAGATGGCCAAAGAAATCTCCAATAATGAGATCTCAGAAAAAGGTTGGTCAAATGTGTCAGGTATAGTACAGAGTTCATCTTCCCTTCAAGACAGAATAAATTATTTCTATGGTCCTTTCATCCCTGTTTTCTATAATTTTACGATCACATTTTTAAGTGATTTATCAGGGTGTTTCTTCCCAACAAACAACACTACAATCTCACCGAGGTTATTCTTACACATATCTTTAGAATCAACTTCAGGCTCCTTACCAAGCCAGGCAAATCTCAGACGTTTCCTTAGTAAAATATATAAGTATGAACACTCAGCAAATATGCTGAACTCCTATATCTGGAAAGGATGGCTCTGAAAAAATGCCACACAAACTATAAAGCACACTGGATCCATCAAAAGATATTTGGGCCTCCATGAAAAAAACCCCAAGAATCAAAGTTCATCTGCTAAACACTAAGCACTGCCTCATTTTCAAGGAACGTAACATTTAAAGGAGTAATTAAAATGGAAAACTGTTCACTGTACTGCCATTCCGGCATAAATTACAGGAGTATTAGAAAGGGATAGGCATATCAGTACTGGGGGGGGGGAAGCGGGTGGCAGGATTTATTTTAAAAAAAAGCATCAACAGACAAAATCATTAATGACAGTACCTAACATGTCACCTTGATATGCAGACTTAGTCTGACATACAGGAAATACACATAGTTAGAAGCTTAGACTGGGAAAGATATTGCCCTCAAGAGAGGAAACCATTCTCTTCTGACAGCATTTGTACACCATAAATCTCACCAATACACCAAGTACATCTCCTTAGCTGTTAAACTGTTAAACAAAAAAACATCACCAGTAACACACCACCATTTAATCTTGTTCTACGGATGGTCCTACTAAAGCTAAAACAGTCCTTGCTAGCAGCTCCTGGTTTAGGTCAATTTGCTCTAGATATAGCTAGTCCGGGTCGGACCTCAAGCAGCTTCTTCAACTGCCAGCTCTACTATCGTGCTGTACCACGGCTGGCAGGCTGAAAGAGAAGGGACTTTCCAAGTCTTTGCCAATATGAATCAAGAGAGCTTTGAAAAGGAACGTGCATTGTGTCTAATCGCAAGCCATCCCACTCGTACATGGGTATTCAAAACACCTCTGCACAAAAGAGCGCTAGAAAGGAAAAAGGGTACAAGTGATTAGACTGAGAGAAATGGCAGGGCTGCTTAACTGCAGGATCAAGTCAGAGCATATAGATAAGAGACACCAGCCATCCCTTTGGCCAAAGGCAGGGAATTACAGGAAGCACTACTACATGCTAGGAAAAATGAGATTAGGGTTTTGCTTTATATTTAGGGTTGAAGCAAAAGTTGTGAAAATAAATAAATAAATAAATAAAGCATGTGGCAGGACTAAAGGACACTAGAAATGGAAACTAAATGTGATTTGTGATCTTTATAGTATTCAGCGTCCAAGCAGCTTTTAATCCTTCTTTAAAATCCTGTCAAAATAGACAAGATTGCCCCCCCTGCTGCTCAATTTTTTCTTTTTCCTTGTGTGGTCAAAGAAACTAAGTCATAGATTCAGCTTGTCACTAACTGATTAAAAATTAATCAACTATCCTGATCAGTGTTAAACAGCTAATTACAACGCTTGCTCTTATTCTTCCACAGTTGGAAGCAAAACTTAAAGTGTCCGTGGCAATATGAAAGAAGTAACAAAGGCTACGTGTAAAGAACCTGCTTTACCTTGCTAAAACCTTGGTATCTAAAAGTTAAGGACAGAGCAAATCTGCTTCTGTATACAATGAAACAGAGGTTACACATGCATTTAATGAAGTTAATTGCTCTTGCTTACCATGAGACTTATCTGAAACAAATAATTTACAGTTTTAGAGCACTATGATAAAAACTATTTCATTGCGAATGCTAGTTTGGGCACTGATAACCATTTGTTATGAAGAGCTGTATACAGTGGTGACTGGCATTGTTTTGTTTCACCACATAATAAAGTTGTGCATGATTGCTTTATTCAATTATTCATTAATAACAAACCTGTGACACCTCTGGCAGGCCACTGGGATTCCTACAGATATATTTATAAATAACTATTTTTAGCCCAACAGAAGCAATTTCTTTCAACTTCTTGTACTTTATTCTTCTGTACTTAAGTTACCACATCTGAGGAATTAGACATCCTCCAAGTCAGGTTATTGTCAGCTCTATTTAGTCAATAATGTCCTTTCTGTTAATATTGTGAAAGACCACATGGTCATTATGCAATTCACAATTTTAAGTGTATTTAAGTTTTATGAGCTGTAGAAAAACATTTTATAAAAAGTAGTTAAGACCTTGGCATTTCAACTTCCTCTCCATTTCTACAGGGTAAAGCCTAGCCTCCAAGGCCTTGTTCAGTCCCTGTTAACACACTGTTCGTTACAGATTACAGCAGTTCTCTAAGTTTCCCTAATTAACACTCTGAATAATCTAAGAAGCATTCTTCCAAAAAAAACACCTCCAATGTACTACATCACATCCTTCTTTCCTCCTCAGCATAAACCCGAGGACAGATTTCATGCTGACAACACCATTTTGCTATGTCCCCTCATCTCAGTTTCTTCAGAGCCCTTACAAATTAACTTGTCTTTTCATTAAGACAGAAGAAATTTGGTCGAGATACTTTCTAACCAAAGCCCCAGATCTTAAATATGCACACTGCCATCAAGACCAGCATTGTGAGTCCTCCACAACACCGGTGCTCAAGGGACACTCTGCAGATAATAGACCCCTCATCAAAAGATAAGGAAATCTCATTTAGATGCAGAACTGAAATGGTAATGTTTTAAACCCAGCCTCCAACAGAAAACATCCCCCTCCAATATACTGCTTAAATTAGTTTCACAATGCACTTCCCGAGAAAATAAAAACAATCTTCCCTTGAGTACAGAAACCACATTAACACCAGCACCTGCACACAACTAAATTAGGTGGCTTCAACTACTGGATAAGCAAGAGCCTAGATTTTTAACCGAACCTTAAAAAGAGCCATCCAAATCCTTTTCTCTGACCAATTATCAGAACTACCAACTGTAAGCAAAAGGAGCTCAGTTGAGGAGTCTTTCAGACGCAAGTTACAATTAACTTAAAAGAAAGGAGTGTTATTTCAATGTGATTTTAGTGATAACTGCCTGGCAGTAAAGCATTACAGCAAACATCCATTTCTGAATAACTGCTAATAACTTACAGTTCTGAAAATATAAAATATGGATTACTAGGTCTGCTAAACCTGCTACTTCCCTCATCAGCTTAGGCCCATTTTTTATTTTGGGATTACATGGAATGAAACACACAAAACCAAACCATGACAACACACACACACCAGATGAGCCTTGGAAACTTACCCCTCCTGACAACTTAATCACCCTGACTTTGCTGCCGACATGGGGCCCATCTCCACTACCACTGTTTGTCCGCTGCATGACAGTCCTTTTCACGCCAGGTTTCAGTTCCTGGGGCCTTGCTTGTGCCGAAGCCACTCGAGCAGTCTGTGTCGTGGGCAGCGCTGCTGCAGCAGGTTTTGTCTGTAATACTTTCTGCGGCGCCTGAGGCTGACTCGGAGGTACTGTCCTAGTCTGCCTCAGCTGCTTCACTGGCTTCATCTGCTGTCCTTGATACTGCATATTCGGCCCGACCTGTGGGAAATCTGTGGGTTTGGGTTGGATATTTGGAACTACCATATCTTGCTTTTTAATAAGGAGTCTGTTTTTCACATTTTGCCTGGTCTGTAAGCCAGAGTGGGGTATGTAAGGGCTGCCATTGGTGGGGAACTCAGAAGAGTCGTCCTCCTGCTGCATGTAGGACTGTTGCGTAGAAGGTTGCTGCTGCTGCTGCTGCTGCTGCGCAAGTCTTTCGAGCAATTCTCTCTTTCTAGCACCAGCTTGCTGCTGCCGTCTCAGCTCCTTTTGTTTCAGGATTTCTTCTCTTAGACGCTTCTGCTCTTCTATCTTCAAACGATACAATCTAGTTTCTTCATCTTCATCTGGATACTACAAAGGAAAATGAAAATGAATTTATAGAATTCTCAACAAATGGCCAGCTTGGTAAAAACAACATTAAATTGTTGTTTCAGATGTCGTAAAGCTGTAACTCTCTGAAGAGCTTTTTAAATTATCTCTGATACCAAACTAAGGCTATTAGTGGATTATATCTGCTGGTAAGGTTTATTTGCTATTCATTACAGGCAAACAGCTCAAATCTGGTTTAGGACTTAGATATACTACTTCCTAGATGGGGAGGCAGGGGGGGAAGCTTTAATACCAGTTGAAAAATCTTATCAGCATACAAAAAAAAAAGTTTTACAAATTGCAACTCATTTAGAAGTTTCTAAAACCAATTAAACTATTAATATAATTCAAGATATCAAAATATGTTTCAAATGGAAAGTAACAATACGGAGGCAACCCACTGTCACACAGGTTTTATCTTGCTCTTTTCTGACAAAGTAACAAAAGGTAGGGTGGTAAATGACCTGAAAGGCCCTGATTAGAACTATTGATTTTTCTCACAGAATTTTCAGCCTGATCTCAAACTCATTTGTCACACAATAATTGGTTATAATGAACAGCACAAGTCAATCTCTCTGACCTTGAACTCATGCACTCTCTTCAGAATCAAAATGTTGCCAAATGCAGTGTTGGAATATTAATGGTATATAGAGAATGCCTTTAATATTCCAGCCCTGGGCCCTTCTGAAAGTATTACACACCATCAAATAACCTTTCTAAAGATTCTTCAACTTTGGCACAACGGGTTCTTATGAAAAGCTGTATGAAATGGGCAAAAGTCAAGGAAATGCAGATTCTCATCATCCTAGAAAAGAAATCAAATTGCTTCTGTGACATAATCACGTGCATTTTTCAAAATTACAAAGCATACTTTTTCCTTATATTATTTTTTATTTTCAACTCTTTGAAATATTAAGTTAGAGACTTGTAGAGACTGCTTACAGATGGTGATTAGCATAACATTCTACTCGAGATATATTAATCACCCCTAACAAAAACAGGCTCTCAAAGTAATAATACTTTGCATTTTGGTAAATTACAGCATAAAGAATGCTAAAACGTTTCTCAAATACTGGGAATCGGCGATGAAGTTATTTACCTTGTAGTAACTGGGTGCAAGCTCTTGTCAACACAAATGCCATTTTTTGCACATATAGGACCCAAATGTGCAACAATTTTTTTTTTTTTTCTTTTTTTTTTCTGTAATTCAAGTGCTTTTATCCCTGGTACATCCCAGAATCCTCTCCCACCCAAGAAAAATAAGAGCAGAACAGATCCAGCCATAAAGTTGGTTCGCAGATATAAAAGGCCAGTAGAGTAGTATCTGTACTAGTAGAATCCAGACACACAAATTCTGAATACTTATTTCCTTCAGATGTAACTGCTTCTTCCCTGAGCACCTAGTGATAGGGATTATTCCCACAGTGACTAAGAAATAGCTGCATGTCTCACACTAGAATTCCAGCCTAAAGAATGGTTAAATAAGACTTGAACAAAACTGGATTTTAATTGTTTGGGGACTGTCCTTTTTAGGAGAATGCTATACAGTAAAAGGATAAGACCCTCAAATATAGTTTGCATAGGATGACAAGATACAGATAAGCTCCAGATAGGAGGAGGATGTGCTGTTATGCAGATCCTGATGCAATGAATTAAATTTTCAGTCACTTTCAGAGACAGTAAATATCTCAATTACTGAAACAGTCCAAACACAAAACCTCTTCCACTTAATTTAATGAATTAGTTTATTCGCTTGCTTTGCTTTAGATCAGAATATTCTACATTTTATCTAAACAGGTTTGATGGATGCCAGTGAGCCAATACCAAATTTACCTTTGGAGGTAGCACTGTATTTTTTTTCTTTATGTTCAATTGAGGGTGTCAATACCAACAAGAATCTGCATGAGACCAGCTCTTCTATCAGCTGTCCTTTATTATCAGGGACCTGTCTGCTCATATTACCATCTAACCAGTTCTGAAGGCCTTGGAAGACGTAGATCACGATCTAGTAAGTACAAAACACTAACTCAAAAGCTACATATAGCAGCACAGAGATGTGTACCTTGTGGCACGCTTAAATGAGTCTTGCCAGCAGACAAGGAATGAACATTCTGACGGACTCTGACCAATACATCCGTGCAGCACAAACAGATACATTGACTTCAACTACACTAGCATAAACACAGAAGACAATTGACAAACTGTATTACCAAGACATATGAAGTTAGATGAATGCTTAGTAGAATCTTCAGGCAACTTGATCTCAAATATAATCTGAAATTCTCCTTTCAGGAACTCAACTCAATACTTAGGAAATCAGTACGGATCCTATGAAGTCAGTTCCTTCGAAAAGGGTAAGTTTTGAAATTAAGGTCCAAGAGCTCTGAGGTTACATGACAACTGCAGATCAGCCTGTTAACAGGCTATAGGTAGACCTAAATCCTTCATCTTCATAAGCAAGTTGCTACTACCGTTAAGTTCTCAGTAAAACATCCTTGCAGCTAGAGTGAGACCAAACAGTATGATGACCCCATGATCATTAACAAAATATTTGAATTAGGAGTCAGGTTTAATTCGAATTAGTTGTGCAATGACCCAACAGTACAGACTCAGAATGGGCAAACTCCTCACTAGGCTGAAAACAAGGGCAGTTAAATCCGCTGCTGCTTAGCCTTAAGAGCACCTTATATATACACTACACTATACTATAATGTGTGTGTGTGCGTGTGTGTATACATATATATGACCTATAGTACATATAATTGACCTGTACTATGTAATAAGGAGCTTCATCATACAGAACAGGCAAGACAGTACACTGGGTCAAGATGGAAACAGTACGCAATGCCTACTGCTAATGATTTTCACCCCAGTAGTTCAATAAGCCCAGTACAGATTTCTCCAACAAGCATAGCACTACCAAAACCAAAACAAACACCCCCACCCCTCCCCCCCCCCAAAAAAAAAAAAAAAAAGAAAGCAACCGGGAGAAAGTAGACATCCTTCAAAGATGCCATAAAGTTCACAGCTTGTGTTTGGAGTTTCCTGCCAAAAGCAGTATTATCTGTAGGTGAAGAAGCAGAAGAACTTGAAGCAGCCTTTTTCCTAGATAAACTCTTGACACTTCACCTTTTTCTGTAGAAAACTCCACAACATGAAGAAACGGTATATTGTATAAGGGTCCTCCTTTTACAGGAGGCTACAGAGTACAATGCCAGAGATGCAAACCAGTTCCCTTGGGTTTGTGGAGGGTTTTTTTTGTTGGGGTTGGGAGGGGGGCTGTGTATGTGTGTGTGTTTGTTTTTGTTTGGTTGTTGTTGTTATTTAGGTTTGCTGGGGTTTTTTTTTTGTTTTGTTGGTTTTTTGTTTTTGTTTTTGAAGTGGAGATTCTCATCTGTCTTTGAACAGTTCTTGAACACAATGTATTTCATCGTAGTTTGAAGGGAAGACCAAACCTTAGCTATAGGTTTTCTTTTGCCTTGAGATCCAAAGAGGCTTTGATGGAAAGTGCCAAAAGAAAATGTTAAAGGCTGCTTTTCCGAGTCTTAACTGAAGAGCAGCAGTAAGAGAAGCAGCAGTCCTACATCATTCTCCCGGAGAACTTAGAATGGCACTGTTGATTGAGGAAAAGACAGCAAAGACATGCTTTAAACCAAGGGTTTAAGTTTTCTACTGTAATTTAAATATCAGTAGCTTGCTCCTCATACAGTGAGTTAAAAAAACCAAACCCACACCTTTTTAAGAGGTCTGCAGGCTTTATTACTAGTTAATAGAATTAAATGCAGAGTCATAAGAACCAGACACTGTAAATGTTCTGTTTTGCTATCAAGAACAAAAAAGGAGTCATGCAACCAGGCTCACTTTTGTCCCTCGGTAGAACGGGTACAAGGACAGAGCAATCAAAACGGTTTGATCTGTGGCATATACACAAATCTATTCAGCAGGTTTATCTTTATTTTTTCAGTTGTAACATTAAAAGCTAAAGAGGCTAGACTCATTTGTCCAAAAATTCATGACAAGTCTTCATAAAAGGTAAGGCCATAACCAAATTACATTGTTTGGCTGCTTGTGTTCAAAACCACAAAGTATCTTAAACAAAGCCACCCACGTACACATCACATTTCACATTACTGATGACACAGCTCCTGAACCCTAGGAAAGCATGAGTCACCCTACAAAACACAGGTGCTGCGCGTCTTGGACAAACAGGAAGAGAATTAAGAACAAGGTCACAAGTTACTTTGAGAAGCACACTGCCCTCTTGCGATCTTCCAACTGGAAAAAGACTGATAAGAAGAATATTCTAAGCACAAGGCAGGAGGCACCATTATCAAAATTTGGAAATCAAACCTCTTTACACTGGAGAAAACTCAAATTCAGACATGTACAATTTTTCAATAGCAATGTAGCAACTATTTTCCATATTGCACATCTTTTTTAAAAAAAGACAGCAACACAAAACTCAACAACCCAACTTCAAAATTTACTGGATTTGGGAGAATGGAATGTGAAGGTTTTCTTTCAGTACATCAGGGACATTAACTGCAATGTAAGTAGTAGTATCAGTACACCTATGATTATGCAGCACTCTACGAATTTCTCTCCAATATCAATTTCTTCTAGAGATTCACATTATCTTTCTACATTCCCCCCCTTCTTTAAACTCAAAAATGCTTAATATTGCCTTAATTCCTCTTATCCTAAACTGACCTCAACATGAGCAGAATTAGGCCCACAGTCATCACGCATACTTTCCAATTTCACTGACAAAATGATCTTTCAGACTGAGGATATGCAAGTTTAAATCTTGGAGAGTAACAGCTATTCAAATGGACAAAGGCATTGAAAGTCAGTATTTTGCAGCCTCACAGGAACAGGAACACAAGCATACCATTAGTAAAGTAGAAATACAGTTTTTAATCTTCTAGTCACTCAGGTTGCAAACCTTTCAAATATCTATTTTGAAGGTGAGCAAAACCTTTAATAGCCAATATTGCTATTTTTTTGGTGCTTCCTGAAAGATAGGGCATTCATAAATATGGCCACTGAGTCTTCAGGAAGAAGGATGCAAAGAAAAGTCTTAATAATTTTCCAGTTGAAGACACTTGCAAAATAACCTGCCCAATTCAGTTATGCGCAATACAGCTAGAAAAGATGACAGAACTTAACTCTTTCTCATCTTCATAGAAAGCAAAAGAACAGGACAAAGTTAGCTAATTACAAGAAAAACACTCAAAAAAGACTGGAAAACATTACAATCTGCCTAAGGAGAGAAATGTAATATGCTACATTACAACAATATTGAAGAATATGATTAAATGCTTGGAAATGAACGACTGCAGCAATGCTGTTTGTAGAAGTGACAATAAGCAGCATCAGTGGACAAGACTACCGCAGCAGCACAGCTGAAAAGGGACAACTGCTACTACACTGTTGTTTGCAGCACAAGGCTCTATTTCAAGTCTGCTTTGGAAGGAGGAGGGTTCTGTGTGCACACACATTCACACACTTTTCTAGCACTTGCTAAGTGTCTACAAAGGCTTTACTTTTATGGTTAATAACAGGAAACACTAGGAGACATCATTTTTTCCAAGACAACTTTTTTTGTATCCTGTTTTGCAGAAACTTACATGAAACAGGTATCAAACTGCTTTCAAAGATAGCGTTGACATAGAAATAAAAAGAAAGCTTTATTTGTAAAACCAAGAATTCGTATGAGTAAGATTAGTTAGTGTTATGACTACAGGTTTGTTAGGATATGTTTAAAACTTAAAATGGAGAGAACAAAATTACTGCTTTGTTTGGGTTTTTTTGTTTCTTTTTTCTTTTTTTTTTTAAATTCATTTGATTAAGAGGAGTGAAAAATATTTATCCATTTTTCTAAACACTGCCAGAGATATTTCAGAACTAATGCTTTAATTTTCATATGACTAAACTATGAAAGAAGTTTAAGATGTTTTAGATGGGGAGGCCTGTAGCTGATTTGCTTCAAAACTTACCTTTCCGGACTTAATGTCCTGAAAGACGGAGGCTTCTCTAAGAGGCACTGCATTTTCTGTGACTTAGATTATTCCAAGAGACTGAATTGAGGGAAAGGGGATTAAGTAATTTTTTTCAAAAAAAATCAAAATTAAAAGCTGAAAAGCTGAAATAAGGATTTTTTTAATATTACCACTGAAAAGCAAATGCACAGGTCAAACACTGCTAGCTATGAGTTTCTTTTGTGCCTCATTTGTGAAAATTAGTTATGACCATTCTTAATTCAAGAACAAGATGAAAAGCTAATCATGAGCAGCTTAAAGGGAAGACAGAATTACCACAATTAAAGCTTTCAACAGCTGTTGAAGAAAACCTGGTCCTCGAGACAAGATTCATGGTCAACTAAACTATAAAGATTTACAGTTCTGCTCAGAATAACCTGACACTCAGAAATTATACAGGGTGCATTTAGCCATCATGTTCTTCTGGTACCTCCTGATGTTCAGGATTAACAGCACCATCAGTACAGTCCTACCCACTCTCTCAAACTAACAGTGCTCATGGAGAGTCTCCTCTAGCTTCCATGAGAATCTGTGCAGGGAAGTGGTTATCTGTTCACAGTGCATGATCCAGTGGAGCCCAAAACACTGGCATCTCATTTTTTGATTGTGCAGAGTACTAGCAGAGCAAACAGCATTTTCTCAAACATGAAAAACTTGAGAGCATCTCCTATTTTCCCCCACGTCAAAAGGTTTCATAAAAGAGAGATTTTCTTCTTCAAGAGCAAGAAGCTCCATGGATGATGTAACTGCAGCCTCTGCAGAAGTACTCAAGACCCTAGCAGAGACTGGGCAGCCTAAAGCAAAACAGCATGAGGAAGACAGCTATCTTAAATAGCCCTTTTGTTTTGAGCCATAAAGCATCATAGGAAATGGAAGAGAAGAGGTTTGCTGACTTAGAAAGAAGTGATTACCTGAAAAAAACCAACCCAATCATAATCCTGGAAGACAAAAATGGGCACCATGGGTATTTCAGAGGCTTGTATCATTGATGACCTTTACACAACCTCCGTCTTTTCATAGTAGAAATGACTTCTCCTCCTGCAAAACAGACTCACCACGGCCCTGCCAACCTTCCAGACTTTTTTAATCAATGGAGACTCGTTTTGCTATCACATTCAAGAGGAAAGTACAACTCAGAAGGGAGGCCTCTAGTGGCACCAAAAATATTGGGTGAATAATATATTAAGTGTGGTTACACAAGTCAGACTAGAAAAGCTTTAAAAAGGTGGGAAGTTTTTGTTTGTTGTTTTTTTTAAAAAAAAAAAAAGCCTTACCTCTGGTTCAGATTTTACTTCTGATTTCGCTTGACCCACTGGTGTGATTGCTTTAGCTTTCATCTCAGGCCTTCCCTGCGAGTTTCCAACACCAGCTACAGACTTGGTGGCAGACATCGTGCTGGTAATGGGTTTGACCTGAGCAGCTGGGGTAGAGGTTCGCCTGTTGTTGCTCATTTCCATAGCATGTGATGGTGCTATTGGCAACTCACGCAAGTTACTATTTCTTGGAGCAGTTGACTGTAGCTGCTGATTTGGACGCTTGACAATATTTTGTGATGGTGTATTCTGAAAAGCAGAAAATCAAAAAACTGCAGACTTTCACTACAAACCAGTCTAAAGTGTTTCCTGTTTCACATTTTCATGATTTGGTTAGGTTTGGGAAAAAAAAAGCTGTTTGAAGAGGCACAATATTTTCAATGTGAAAAGAAAAGTTATAGAAATGAGAACATTTTAACAATGGTTTTATTTTTCTTTAATTAAAAGCAAAACTGAATCTCACTTGTTTAACATCTTTCTCAGAAACTGGCTTCACTGTGAAATTTATGTTCCTAATCAAAGCAATTATTCTGAACTACAGTCATGTTGTCTTGAGCACTGCTTCAGACTGTTGTGCCTACCCCAGCCTACCGAACAACAGAATATGCCGCACTGGAGCAAACTCACAAGACATGACTGGCACTAACTGAACCAGAAAGCTTATTAGCAGTGGTAGAGAGGCCTTCAAATTGAAAGACAGTGTCAGAGAACTGGGCTCCCACACAATCACAGGCTACCAGCAGTTTTAAAATCTTACTAAGTAAACCTATTCTCCAAAACCCCTTTATTGCCAGTTCTTGGGCAACTGCATCACCTCTTATTGGAGCCAGATCAAGAAAAGCACTGAAGACTGGAGGAGAAAAGAAAAAGGGAAAGATACATGTGCTATTTTTGGATGTAGGTTATAAAACGATCAAGGCAGAAAAGGAACAGGAAATGGTGAAAGAAGGTGACAGAGCAGGACGGAATAAATAGGACTGAAAAACCACGCTGGTGAGTTTTGAAAGCTGTGCTTACATGCCTGTTACCCATGCAGAACTACGCAAGGCAACACTGATGTATGCGGTACTTACATGTCTTGGCTTCATTGGACCTTGTCGCGGCTGACACTGCATCCTGTTGTTATTCGGCTGCTGCTGCGTGGCCTGCATATGAGGCCTGAACTGTGGCTGGTTCATGGGCATCAAGGGCTGTGGTGGCCCTTGGAGATGATGATGGTGCTGCTGCTGCTGCTGCTGGTGATGGTGTTGCTGCTGCTGCTGGTGATGGTGCTGCGGAGGCTGAGGTTGTGGCTGAGGCTGTAATGGAGGATGCAAGGGACCCTTGACGTGAAGAGAAAGATTATTTGGTTTTAGTTTCAAGGTAATAAACTCCTGAAAAGTCGCTCCAGCCTCCCAAGTCCTCAAAACATCTGTAAGCAGGTATGGACCAGGCTAAATCAAAAATATACTGAGTAAAACACAGACTAACAGAAGCTGTGCAAGGTAGTGATACACTTAAACCTGTGTAAGTCAACAGCTGAAGTGGAAAAAGACAAATGCAAGGGTTCCTACCCTCTGCCCTCCTTTCTAATGACTTAAACTGTTTTTTGGTGGGTTTTTTCCCCTTTTTGGTTGGGTTTTTTTTTTTTTATTCCCCCAACATCATCAGATTTCAGGATTTCCCCACGTTCAAAACACAGACACCATGAAAAGATCCCGCACAAAGCCCCCCCAACGTGCAGGGCCCTCCACATCGCCCTGCGCATCCCCGAAACATTTACCCGGGTTTTTTTTTTTTTATTCCCCCAACATCATCAGATTTCAGGATTTCCCCACGTTCAAAACACAGACACCATGAAAAGATCCCGCACAAAGCCCCCCCAACGTGCAGGGCCCTCCACATCGCCCTGCGCATCCCCGAAACATTTACCC